CCCCTTCCCCTGCACCCTTTCCAATGTTCCTAGATTCACCAATGACAACTGTGCTGCAAAGATTTAACCTTGACTGTCTGTGTCTGGATGTTTACATATATAGCTTTGTTTCAGCTTGCTTCACGGACTCTATATACTTTGTGCCCCAAACACCCTGGCCCAGTCAGAGACACTCTATGAATCCCCCTTCCCCATTCCTGCAGGCAAGAACACCCTGGCCCAGGGAAGGACACTTTATAAGTCCCCTTTCCCCATTCCCATCTTCTCTATAAAGTCCCTGCCTCCCCAGCCAAAACTGCTGTTCAGGTCCTCTGAGCAGCTTGGCACATGCTAGTTGCCCTCAATTAACCTCTCCTTTCATGCCAGCTAACCTGAGTATGGTCTTGTGTGGGTTCAAGGGCACCTTTTCCCAATAGTTTTCATGTCAACTTATTTGACATGCATTTTTAGTGATTCACACTTATGGAGTACATTAAATTTTAAATGAAAAATTAAAAAGAAAACAGGGAAGTCTGAAATACTTAACATTAAAAATGAGAACAGAGAGTGGAAATAGGAGGATACTGAAGAGACAATAGATGACAATTTCTTTATAACTGATGAAATACAGGAATCCAGAAATTAAAAAAGCACAATAAATCTAGTAGTACAATATCCTTCTTAGAGGAGTATAATAAAATCCACAATAAAGTATAGCTTGGTTAAAAAAAAAACCTAATCATTCCTAATAAAGACATTAAATTCACCTACAGAATACAGTTTGCCTATAGCATTCTATGGCACATGGGGTTAGAAAGATGTCAAAGATATATTTTCCTGAGGTTTATAATATAACATGATTTTTGTTGTCCACTGAGACAAAAGAGTTGTATCATTATATGTACATATTTTCTAATGTACTCATAGAAACTTACTAAGTCCTCATTACAAATAACAGAACATTGACTATCTTAGGTTCAAATAAAGTATCAGGAAAATAATTATCAATGCTAATAAAAAAATTTTCAGCTGGGGGAGTGTATTGTAAAGAAGGAAAAGTATACTTTTCCAAAACTTGTACTAAGTAAGAACACAAATGGTTGCCACATGGGGGCCTGAAAACATATTCAGAAAGACTGTGGTCATTTCTCGGGCTCAGTATACTTAGGCTAAAGTTCCTCTGCCTGTCGTACATTTTGGTATGCTTTTGTGTCAAGTATTAAAGGAGGTAAAGAATAATACTTTAAAAACTACATTTTATAAAACCTCAGAAGTAGGCAAAATGGTAAATTTTCCAAAATATTCCACAAGGAAAAGGCTAGAACTGCTCTGGGGAAGATTCTGGACTTTTTACAACCTGACTCTATGAAGGTGACAGGAAGGCAGGGAATGGCCTCACCTGATACGCGAATATACTCTGAGGAGTTCACTAAACAAATGCCCGTCACAGCTCCATTGGGCACAGGCCATGTCTTAGAAACCTTTTTCGCACTAGCAAAAGAACAAAGTGTGAAAATCAAGTGTGGTCTCCTCTGGTTGATCTGGGGGACTTTGTGAATTTGGCCTGTCATTTAACTGATGGATTATGTCTTACAATTTCTGGCATCTTAACACCAAGGTAATTCAGCAAATGGTCATTTGGTGTTTGTGGAACTAAGGTGACTT